CTGGCACTGGATGATAATTAAGAAAGCAAACAATCAAGTTTAGTAATAGGATAGCGTTTCTATCAGGAAAACATGCAGACAATCTACAGCTTCCAATTGAAAATAAAGAATAAACTACCCATAGTTAGATATAGATTTTTTTTAATAGCAAAAAGACAACAATAAGAAATAAAAACTACATGATCAAGTCGATTTTGTGCGTTTCTAACTATTATACATCTGATAATTGTAAAAGAGAAATGTATGATGAACAATAGCACTTCAATTAATAAAAACTCTAATGACTTTGCCTAATTAAGATACTAGATTTCAGAAAATTGAAATATGTAGGAGGTGGACTAACTCACCATTGAATGGATATTGATAAAATACTGCACCCAAACCATCTACTATTGTTTTGAAGTTAAGTTCACTCACAGTTGCATTAAGAGTGTCGTCAAAGAAATTCCTAAGAACTGGCACAATTGGAGAAACATCAGTCTCAGGTGACAAGAAGTCTAAAGCGTAATAATCACGAGCCATAGCTTCATAATCTCGATTAACCATGTGAACAACATGCCCAATAATTGCGCATCTTGCTTCTTCTGGAGTCTCACTCATCATTCCAAAATCAAGAAAGGCAAGTTTTCCCTCTGGTGTCGCCAACAGATTACCGGGATGAGGATCTGCATGAAAGTATCCATATTCGAGTAGCTGTCTGAGGCTGCACTGTATGCCGGTATTCACCAGATCCAAAACCTTCAGCCCCTGTCTCTCAATAGCTTCCTGCTCATTTAATTTCACACCATCAACCCACTCCATCGTCAAAACCTTACTACTTGTATAATCCCAAAATATGTCTGGGACAAGGACATCTTCCTTGTCAGCATATAATTTCTTAAACCTCCTAGCATTCTGTCCTTCCTGCATGGCTCCAGAAAATTAAAGTCAAGAACCTCAAAAGATATCAACATACTAATGATAGACTATCAGAAATAAAAACATGTATCATAAGAAAACCTAACCTGTACATAGTTAAGCTCTTGATAAACTCTGCGAGCAAATTCATCTATAAGAGCAACGACATCACTTGAGATGAAGTCGACATACTTATTAATGAGAAAGCCTAAGCTCCTTATCAGGTAGAAATCTAGTCCTATAGCTTCTTCAATGTTCGGGCGTTGGACCTTTACGGCAACCACTTTGCCAGATTGCTTGAGTCTGGCTTTGTAAACTTGACCCAAGCTGGCAGCTGCAATGGGAGATGGGGATATTGACGAGAAAATGGAATCAAGCGATAGTCCCAGCTCCTTCTCAATGCACAAAAATGCTTCTGCATCTGGGAAGGTTGGTAGACCATCCTGTTCAGAGACAGTAGTAGCAGTTAAAGATGACATAACCATCTAAGCTCCATATATAGTTGGATAATACATAAAAACATCCAGTGAATTATATGCCTTGTCAAGAATGGGCTTGAACCACTTAAGTAACCTCAATTGTGCTTTTGGAAGTTTTCATCAGGATCAAAGTTCAAACTAATATCTTAGGCCAAGTTCCTAGAATTACGATTGAGCACTTTTCCCAGAATAGAGTTCTGAGATAAAAATGATCAAAGGTTGGTAAGGACATGTATGATTCTTGACAAGAAAAATTGTAAGTTACAACAAAATTTAACAATATTATGTTCCTTGTTTGGAGATTAGAAAAAGATCTATAGACATGAGTAATGAGATAAAGCTACCTAAAATAATTCATCCGAGTTCTCAGGCTAGAAGAAAAAAGATATTTGATCAATTAAGTAGGAATGCGATGGTGAAATGGAAGGAGAAAAAAAATGGGGATAACACACTTGGAGTTCAGAAAGCTCCTCAAGGTACTCGGGAGGGCAGATGTCTGGCCTGGTGGACAATCCCTGGCCTAATTTCACGAAAGTAGGACCTAATCGAGTAAAAATTCGTCGCAGCTCAGCAGCTCGCCGCCTTTTATTTTGATCGAGTTGGCCACTGTTTTTGTCCAACCACAATTTGATGCCAAAAGAACTAAGCGCAACCAAAATTTGCAGAGACCTCCGCAAAATCTGGAAATTTTGGTCAAGACATTCGATTAAACTCTTAAGGAGATAGAGGTAGAGGTAGAGCAATTTGGGCGAAGAAAACCTCAATTGGGCGAGAACCGTACGTATTGGCAAGAAGCTCCGGACTGTAGAAAGGAGCGTTAGCAGCACGCGCCATCGCCCTGGCCTCCGCCTGCAAATCATCAGTCCGATCGACAGTCAAAACCAGTTGAGTCGGCAGGGAGGTATCACCGTTAACCGCAGGCACAGCCCTAGGTCTGGCCTCAACTAGAGCCGCACGAGGGTGTTTTGAGCGAAGAAACTTGGGAATAACAAGTGAAGTTCCATGAGGAGAAGCGTTTAACCTTGAAATGGCGTCGCCGGAGCGCCATAACGAATATGGAGGAACAACGGTACTCATAGTGCGGAACCAAATGGATGGTTGATTGTAGAAGAAGATTTGCAGAAATTTTGGTTGGCTTCGTCTCCTCTCCTCTCTTTTCCCTCATGATTATTTCGTCCACGGAACAGCAATAAGTAGCAGCCACAACCACCGTCCTATGGCGTGTTTGCAAACTGCACTTGAGAAAATGGAAATTTGTCGTTTTCCTTTTTTTTTTTAATTTATTTATAACATATTTCCCTTCCGGATAAATTTCGGATTGGTTGGATTGATAACTCAGCTACTCGAAATTGCTTTATAACCTAACTCAACTCAACACGTTTGTAATCCAGCTACTCCGAGTTGTTTTACAACTCAACTCAACCCAAGTTTGTGTTGGGTTGTTCATATATGTTTTTTTTTTTAATTTTTTTTTAAAAAAACTTATGTTTATCCTCAATGCAACGTTCAAACTAGTCCAAATGTATGCATAAATTATAGACATTGAACCTAATATGATTCAAAATGGTCAAAATACATATACGATACAATCAACATAATTTAAATAAACCGTATTCACAAGAAATTTTTTTAAAGGAAGGTTTAGACATGTTACTCTGTTTGATTGGTTGATTGGTTGAGTGTGTGATAGAGAGTAGAAGGGAAAGTGTGTGATTCTGAGCGACGTCTAGTATCAAGCGACAAATGGAGTGAGCGAGCGATGAATGGCGTGCCGGAAAATAGTTTAAATTTTTAGTATTATTTCCATAAAATTTTATAAGTGGGAAATGATTCTATATTCAATAAAAAAAAAATAGAAAATATTATGATACAAATAATTGAAAGTTCTTGAAGAAGTTCAAGGACGTTATTATGCAATTTTTAACTTATCTAAGAACTTTGAATTTGCCAAAATCCAAAATTCATATCAAAATTTAAAAATATGTTTGAATTTAAAATTCTTTTCAGTAAATCAAATTTGTTCGGGATTAAAAACACCATGTTCCTTCACAGCCGAGTCAATAGCACATTACCATTTTTGGAGTAGACAATGACCCAACAATTCTAAGTTAATTTGCTTTCGTAGGAATTTATTGTTCATTCAAACCCTCCACTTATTGACAAATCTACCCTACGTTTCTTTCCCGTTCTAGAGAACATTAGAGTTGCTTGAACATACTTATTCTTCGTAATATCACGATACGCCTTCAGTGAACATGCTATGGACTTAAATAAGCATAAATATTTCGAACATAAATGAAGTAGTATTATACCATCATTTCAATGAAAACATAACCAAAATGAAGAAAAACTATCTATGACTTCGTTCTATGTCCTCTTCAACACACACCATTATTTGTACACCCTTTACCTTTCACTTGAAAAATGGTTAATAATAGGATGAGAATTTAAAAACGAACTCAATAAGTAATCTCATTGCTAGAGTCGGAAAATGAAGTAAATGAAACTATAGTTTCCTGCTAAATACGACTTAAATCGTGTCTATAGCCTCGAGAACTAATTTCATTTGTGAGTGGATTTAGATGCATAGTACTTTCCCACACTAGTCTATGCACGTGCACATAGACCCACTAGAGGAATACCAATTTTTTGTAAATGCTAAACTTGCATATGGCTTGTGTACTCTCACGAAACTGAACCACAAAAAGAAATAGAACTTAAAACCATATATAGGTATGGGCATGTACAATCATGCTTGGAGAAGTAGTCCATATTCCATGTACACTGCAACATGCATAAGTTTTCACATATAAATTCATGTTAATATATAATGAGGCATATAATACTTCTAAAAATCATGACATACATATTTTACGAGGCACCTATTCATATCATTTCAATCAATATTTATAATACATTTTCATTCATGGTGCCTCGTAAGTCATATACATGGCCACATGAGTCATGAGTGATCATATGTAGAAGAACATGCGTCACATAATACATAAATAATCATATCGACAATAATAACACGTAAATAAGGCATAGATGCATATCATTCCTACAACTTTAACTTTCATCCGATTAGCCATATGCATTCCAGTAGAAAAATCACTTGAACTTTGGTGCTCCTAAGTTATTTTCAGCTAATTGTGTCTAAGATTAGCTTAAACATGATCCAATTCTACTTGAGGTATTTCATCCATTATTAGCTTAGAGCTTATTCATATAGCTAAAATAATTGATTATCTAATTAAACCTTAAACAGTCCCAAGTAATCTTAATTGGCCGAAAAGTAGCTATACTAACCTTTACTCGACTCAATTTGGTCAAAAACGCTTCTAGAATGGTCTAAAACGATCAAAACAAGCCAACACTTCTTCACCTGACTTTCACACATCCTTAATGTGTTGGATGGCGCACCCGCCCTCCTTGATCGCATTATATAAAAAGTCTATCTTCGTAAGAAAGATCTAGATGAACCTCTCCATATATTTTCAATAATTGTTTTAGAATCTCATGTGATTGATGAATCTTTTATTAATACAGATCATCAACCATGTAGCTACCCATTCATCATTGAGAATGTTTATTTGAGCAAAGGAATATGCTTTATTTGAGCTCTTTGCAACCTGTTTCTCTATCATCTATAGCATCTCCTTGGGATAGAGCACTCTATACTTGAGCCGAAGAATGGAAAGGAAGTGCACGATACTACGTTTACAAATAGTAGTATATGTGACATTTAGTTTGTGGGCGAATGATCCTAACTCCTGTAAGCCCAATTTTCGAATACATCCAACTTTCCATTGTTGCAGTCTCCACCCTTCAGAACCATCATCAGAATACCATTTTACTTGAGGATTGATGGTCATCTGCAATCAACAGTTTTAACCTGAGCGTCCACTATGCAACCATAGGAAAATCTACAGTCACAGATTCATAGCAGCAGTGGTACACATTAATAAACATAGTTAAAATAAAATTTCAGAATGTGAAAGAAGCCAGCAGATGTCAACTTACAACTTCGTTTGTGGAACAGAGGGCCTTTTAGCTATATGTTATTTTGTGACATCTGTAAATTTTCGATAATGAACCTTCTCGAAAGCTACATTGTTATGAACTAAAAAATAGACAATATCCAGAGCAAGTCAAAGAAAGCAAAGACGAGATAGTCATACAAGGCCTACGGTTATAATTGAGGCAACAGGGGGGGGGGGGGGGGGGGGGGGGGGGGGGGGGGGGGGGGGGGGGGGGGGGGGGGGGGGGGGGGGGGGGGGGGGGGGGGGGGGGGGGGGGGGGGGGGGGGGGGGGGGGGGGGGGGGGGGGGGGGGGGGGGGGTCTACTGCTATCAGAGAAATGTCTGGGAATATCAACTATTTTCACCATGGCTACAACTCCTTGCATAGCATTCTTAGCCGAACAACCTTCTAATTAAGAATACATCAACATAATTTCGTTATGTATATAAATAATAAACACAACGGCTACATATCTTAATGTGGGGATGTTTGTACACAGTCAGACTATCAGTTCAAGTCATGTAGATGGCCCTGCAGAAAAAAAAAAAAGAAAAAAAAAAGATTAATCACATGTATAATCATACAGATCAGCAAAGGGCATTAACCTGGTACAGATATAATTCATGCAGCTAGTAATTATGATAAGATCTACTACATGCAGCTTGTACTTATGATAGCTATCAGTTGTAGTGTTAATCATATTTTCTCCAGGAAAAGGATTGACCAGAAATGAATCATTCATCTTCAAATGACACTGTTCAATCATCACAAGAAGCAAAAACGGTTGAGTACAACTTAAACCAAGCACCACATGAACCTTTGATGGCTTCGCTTGACTACAAATTTTATGCGAGAAAAAGAAAATATCCTTTATCAGAAACAACTTGTTCGATCCTTTCTACCATACAAGAATGTACACGGCAAGAGTGTTGTTGCATGAATTCATGCTACAATGATATATTTAAACGATAGATACTTCCAATATTTGTGTCAGGTGCCGTGAAAATAAAAATTTGTATGCAGAGGTGTAGTTTTTTTTAATAATATAATAAAATCAACCCGAGGATCCCACATCAAATGTCTCTAGGTGCTGAGCTAAGGCTCAATTCTTAACACTATAGAGTTGCTTGAAAACTATAATTTATGTAACTACTTTGAATTTCCAATACAACAAATGGACCCGTTAACTAAAATTCGGGAAGCAGACATGTTACCTTGTAGCTTTTCCCGTTGCAGTCCTGTTTCTTTCATCTCTTGAAATTCTCAGGGACCTTAATTTGGAGGATGACCTAATTGAATGGATGAGGGGCGCTTCTTCATCATCTTCCTCATCTCGCTTCTCTTCGTCATGAACATCTTCTTGGTCAGATGCACTAATTGATTCCTCTTCTTCACTTGTACTTTGTTCATCAAAAAGTCTTTTTCCCTGTATGGTATGTTTTTTACGTGGTCGACCCCTGCGTCTGGTAGAATTTCCTTCTTTCTCCTCTACAATTGCACAACAAACAAGCACAATTTAGAAAACTAAACCAAATATAAGCTAAACATAAAAATTAATTTTACATTTGAAAAAAGATATAGCGACCAGCTAAGGACTGTAAAGAAGTCATTGGAATCAATGCAACATAGACCCTTAAGCGCCATTTATTAAATAAAAATAGGAATGCCCCAGAAAAAACTGGCAGAACCAGACTGAAGTTGTCTGTTTATTCATCTTCTCTGAACTTCCTCTAAAATCTCAAATTCCAGAAGTTGGCGGAGTTGTCCCATAATATGGAGGTAGCCACAGGCATCTCATGTCATGAGAGATCCGATCGAGATTTGGAAAAGTGTTGCTAAAAGAAGATGGAATTTTGTTCACTATACTTCGAATTTTATTCCATTTAGTCTCTTGTACTTTCAAATAGTCAAGTATACCTTGTACTCTCAAATCATAAAATTAAGCTCTACAATAAGTTTATCGTTAAATTTTCTAAAAAATATTTTACCTCTATTAGTCTTTTGCCCAAGAATGAATTTGGACATGGAACACGGAAAAGAACTCTAGAACTTTTAAAGATAAGACCCTACACTTCAACTTTTTTTTTGTAACAATGTACAAAATACGACTTCTTTAGTGGATATCTCTACACACAAAGTGGGCATTAGCTATAAAATAAAAAACAGAGAAACCAAGAACCAGAAAAACCAAGAACCAAAACAGAAATCAAACAGGGCATTAGCTATATTTAGCAGAAAAAAAATCCAGACTTAAATAAGTAAATTCAGGAGCCAAAAAAATCCACAATATGGTCGAGAGATGCATCTAAATGTAATTAAAGATCATGCATATTCAAGCAAGAGAGATCGGGTGTGCCACTAAAGACTAAATTGAGAGAAACAAGTTACCTTGCAAACCATCACGTTTAGCATTCTTTTCACGCAAGTGGTCAACAAACATATGATATGGGCGCCATCCACTTGGGTCTTCATCTGTATTAACATTTTCTGTTCGACTCTGGACATCCTTGATACTATTTGAAAAATGGTTACGAATTAAATTGGGCCATTTCAAGCCATAATTAGTTTTAAATCAACCTAATTTAAAAAAGAAAAAAAACTTACATTTCCAGTATATCAGGTGTAGGTAGTTTGGATACAAAATGTAGAACGGCACATTCCAGGAAAGATAAATTCTTTGGTGCATCAGAGAAGGCATGCTCAATTCCATCCTTAACAATCTTTAAAATATCTGATCTATGCTTGTTCCTAGCTGAGCCTACATATGTTCCAGAAAGCCGAGCAGCCAACTCCTTACATTCTTGAAAGGATTTGCTTGTTGAAGGCTCAACACTACTCCCCGAGAGTTCTACTATATGTCGATGATACGCCTAACACAACCCCGAAAAGAAAAGAAAGTGAAATCATGTGGCATGATTCTTCACAAACTCACAAATTTAAAAACTAAAAAAATATCCCACCATAAATGTGCAAAAGTAAAAGGGTTTCTTCACATGGTCTCATCATTTGGTGTACTCTTGGTTTACACAGTAATGCATTGGAAACTTTCACTGATATATAAAATAACAGTGGCAAATAATAAATAGGAGGCTACCGCACAAGTATTTAGGAGATTGGAAACCCTTCCAAGCCTAAGCTTAACTCTACTCACTAGTCAGATAGTCAACCCCTCTGGTCTCCTACATACGAGATCTCTAAACTAACTTCCACATATCCCACTACGCACTATGTTACAACTTCCTCTCTTCCATATTTCTCCTAATTATCATTCCATGCTCAGGTTAGTCTACGTCTAATTCGACTTCACTCTCTTCATATATGTAAATCATATTGCAGGTCCACCATAATGCTCTTGTATATGATGACATCAAACTTCTTGCAAATATTATAAGTTTGCATAGCCCAAAACAAAATATGCTGGGTTCAGATTGTTTACCAGGAAATGCCTTCTAATCATATTCAAACCACACGTAAAGACATGCATGCATGCATGTAAATATATATGTGTGCATATATACATACGATGGGAGAGAGAGAGAGAGAGAGAGAACAAAGAAGTCCCCGGTATAGAGAAGTAAACCGTATACAAGCGATGATCCTTACTCTTTTCATGGCTTCCAGAAAGATAACTGGGATATTGGCATCCTTCTTTTTCAAAATGGTAATGAAATGCTTAACAATGTCCACCACACTTGTCCCATGTATCAGAAAATGAGAAATAATTTCCGGACCAAGAAACTCCTGCACTAACAATTGGATGCAATGAGTTTTGACCTGAGAAATATAACAGCATTATGCTATTCATATTCAGGAGGACACCATCATGAGCCAAAGAAGAAAAACAATATACGAACTACTCAAGGAAAAGAGTGTCTAGAGCTTTGATTAGGTCTTAACTCTTTCCTTTAAAGGTTCAATAATTCCTCTCAAGCAACATATTCCAACAAAGAGCTTTTACCGCACTGAACCAAAGGACTAAGAATGATAGAAACTTTAAATACACCAAAATGATTTCAAATTCAAAATAAGTTTTACCGTAGAAACTGTATCACTAGCAACCAACTTTGCAGCAGCAATCATGATTGCATCTTTATTTGTCTCCTCCACATATTCTTTACTTGTATCCTCATCTTCACTCTCATCTATACGGACAAATATAAAAGATGTGTTAAACATGGAAACAATAAGAATGATGAAAAGCAAGCAACCAAGCTTATTGATGATTTTAGACTATTCTTTTACTGTTAACAGTTACATATATAATTTGGGGAAAAATCGATTTATACTCGAAACTTTTGAGTTGTATCACTTAAAATCTCAAACTAATAAAGGTATCCATATAAACCATTAAATTTCATAAACAAATCAATTTACACCATATGTTAGAATTTGTTTTCAAACACCATTAATACACAATTTTTCACAGTGTAGAATACTTCTTTAAATGTAAGAATTAATGTAATATTAGAGAGAAATGCTAATATGAAATAAATAATAGTGACATTTCATTCATATGAGTAGTTATTCATCTTCATGTTTCCTCTATTTTTCTCTACCTATTGAGGAAGAAATATATGATAATTTTCCTTATCTTTGAACTAAAAGTCTTCGGTAGAGGATTTTGGGAGAAGAAAAAATTTCATTGTAAGTGATTTTAGTTGATTTTAAATGAAATCAAGTGAAAATAGTTATAAATCACCATGGAAGGCATAGATCACTTTAGGGTTTAAATTGATACAATCATTAGTTTGGAGTTGTGATTGATACAACCACCAAAGTTAAGAAGTATAAATTGATCTCATCATCTATTTATTCTTGTCTCTTAAAAGTAATTTCCACAAATGTCCAAATATATATGATTCTGGCAAATGGAATAACATAGAGTAAAGCTCCATCCCATATATCTTGATCAGGAAGAGAGGGGGGNGGGGGGGGGGGGGGGGGGGGGGGGGGGGGGGGGGGGGGGGGGGGGGGGGGGGGGGGGGGGGGGGGGGGGGGGGGGGGGGGGGGGGGGGGGGGGGGGGGGGGGGGGGGGGGGGGGGGGGGGGGGGGGGGGGGGGGGGGGGGGGGGGGAGGAGGGAGGCCCCTGCAAAAGCCCTGCCCACCCTTTTTGGATTATTTGATAACTTTCTACTAGTTTTACACAGAATCTTGAGGCTGTTAATTTTCCCTATCCAGGTGAGGCTCGAGTTGTCAAGTCATCACTTTGGAATGGTTGATTGCACACTGACCACCTCAGGAGAAGTACCAGCAAGAGATAAGTCAGCCAGTGTAAATGTGAAATGTCAATAGGCTTAGATGAACACATTATTGAATTTCCATATGGAACTTTCACTAGAGTTTGAAATGGTTAAACCCATATTCTCTTTGATTTGAAGATCTCATCCTTCAGGAAGAGTACTTCCCTCAGAGAACTTGCAACAAATTCCCATAATTGTTCAATCTAACTTTGACCTTGTAGAAGAAACATCATTAAGGCAACAGAGAGATGCGGTTAATTACTTCAAGAACTGATTTTAGTTTGTAGAAGAAACATCATAAAGGCATCAGAGAGAAGGGGTTGATTATCTCAAGAACTAATTTTGACACTCGAAGGCTAGATTGAAGATGGATTTTTGTCGCTACTACCATAATTTTTTTTCACAACTCCCATGATCCAAGATATATGAAGCACGATTGTATAAAAGTATTGAACAAGATTAGAGAACCTAATTTCTCATGTTGCATACTCTAATCTTTCTTAACTTCCACACATATCTTTTAGTTCAAAAGTTGTGTGTGGTAACGTTGGCTGATCAAACCTCGAATCATCATGGTTCTGGAAGAATCTAACCCAATAACAGAGTTCAATGAGAACTGAACTAGATCCTCGGTAGGTGGGTCATGCAAAGTAGGGTTGTACAGTTGTTGGGTAGGATAAGGATAGGGGCATTTTATGTACCAGTAATTTTTTTTGGATTGGGCTGTTCACCTACCTAAATGACTCAAATTCAACAGCCAATCCAACACTTCAATGATTGACAAATGACGAGAAAAGGAAGAAGGAAAAAAAAAGAATGAATTTGTTGGAAATGCACATAAATTTTTTAGTTCAAAGATTAAGGAAACTTCTTTAGATAGCTTCTTTAGTTCAAAAAGAGAGACAGGCTCTACCTAGGGAGATTAAAAGCCTTCTGACCTACACTCTAACTGGGCATCTTTTTTTTCAATGAAAAGAAAGTTTTTTAGATGCATCTCATTCAGACTTGCTTGTGGCGTCTCTTCAAAGATAGGGAAACTTCGTTTGTTAGCTTCTTTGAACAAATTATTTTCCTTGCAATGTCTTGGTGTAAATGCACATCCTTTATAGTTCTTACGATCTTTTCTGTCCTGTGACCAATTGGAGAAGTCTTCTTCGTTTGGTTTTTGTTTGCCTTTATGAGTTTTTTTTTTTTTTTTTTTTTTTTTTTTTTTTTTTTTTTTTTTTTTTTTTTTTTTTTTTTTTTTTTTGTTGTTGTTGGTAAATTTCATACATCTCTGTAGAAAGAGGTGATCTAAAGCAACATTAAATTATTTGAGGATGTAACTCCAAGCCTTTTTGCTAGTATTTGGGTAATCGGGGTGTTTAAAAAAAAAAAGAACAACCCATTGTGGCAAAGTGACAATGTAGAAAGAGGTGATCTAAAGACTCTTCTTCTCTATAGCATCGGCAGCTGACGGGAAGATAGAACATTGATCAATGATCACATTTCATCTGTTACTTTTTCATGGGTGTTTCGGCCTCTGTAAGCAAGGGTCCACAGGAAGATCTTCACCTTATAAGGAATGTTGTACCTCCAAATTAGATCCACCGAGGAGGTTCTATGCTCTGTGTTTCCATAATCTTTAAAAAAGCAGATTTAGAGGAAAATTTACCAGAAGGCTCCAAGGTTCAGCAAACATTGTCCAGCTCTTCTCCCACCTTAACAGCATCAAATCTTCTAAGCCGTCCGTGGGGAAAAATCCTTAACAGCATGAATTCTATTCACCAAGCCCAGCCAGCTTCATTTCTCTGTCAAACAGACGTCTCCTTAGGCCCAAATCCCAGTCCCTTTGATCATCATTCCAGCGATCAGCTACCGAAGATACTTGCATCATAGAGATTTTGAAGAGTTCTGAGAAATCTTGAGCTAAAGATTTCAAGTCTCAACCCAACCCAAGTGTCTTTCCAAAACCTCATCCCCTAACCTTGCTTAACCTAGAAAGCCATAAACCTAAGGAAGAAAGAACTATGCTTCACAATATGAATCCAAGGACTTCCCCTTCAATTTACCTTTTTCATTTGAAGGGAGCCAGTCATGGGGTCCGTCCCACAGATGCTAGAAATAACTCTACTCCATGAAGATCCTTCTTGAGTAAATCTCCACGAACATTTTAATCGTAAGACATCGTTCCTTTGTAGAAAAGTATCGATCCCCAGTCCTCCATAACAGAAAGGGAAGAAGACCCACCCCGATTATACAAGGTGCCAACAATGCTGAAAGTCCTCATTGTCCCAGAAAAAATTCCTCATAACTTTCCATCTACCGAGTAACATGACTAGGGGCTTTAGAAGGGAAAAATAACAGATGGGCAGGTTTTGCTATTTGTCTACTTTCACCTTGAGCTAGTCAACCCTTCCCAAGAATATAGATCCACAGTTTCCCCCTAAATCTAAATAATATGTTTAAAGAATAAGAAGGGTCTCTTTCAGAACAAGACATAGTAATTCGTGCTACTTCCAAAAGATATCCTTTTGAACTGTATTTGAAAGGGAAAAAAAATATGATTCGGAAATGTAAGTTGAAGTGGATAAAAGGAGATGAAAATACCAAATTTTTTCACAGGTATTTGGCAGAAAGGAAGAGACAACTACTGATCTCGAAAATATGTACATCAGAAGGAGCGTCGTTATTATCTTCTACAGAAAATGAAAACGAGAACCCAACCTTATTTTCTTCATTGTAAAGTTGAATTTCACGCATCCTTACTAACATCTATTGGCAGGTAGTTTCTGGTGCGCATGACTTGGCTTTTATTGCACCATTTACTAAAGTATTCGTAAAAGGGCCAGACAGTTTTACCTTAAAATTTTACCTAAATTTTGGTCCTTTTTAAAGGAAGTCAGAGTTTCTGAGGATATTCAAAGAATTTCATCTCAATGGTCACTTGACTCCAGCCCTCAAGGAGAACTTTATTTGCCTAATCCAAAAAAGGAGTTTGTTACAACTATTAAAGACTTTCAGCCGAACAGTTTGATATGTTCGGTCCCTCTTCTCAACTGACTGATATGTTCACAAAAAGCTTGTCTTCTTCAGCCCTGCAGCCCTTCCCGACCAAGGTAAGGTATTTTCAATCTACACAATCCATCTTGAGGGGGGTATCAGTAATATCAGTTGACCACAATATTACAACTGATATTTAATTACAGCCATATTAGTTGACCACAATATTAGTTACAACTCTTTCACGTAATTCTGTTATAACTGTTATCTGTATTTAATTACAGCTATTATATTAGTTAGTCTTTCTGTTGATTTTTCAATAGCTCGAGTATATATATGAGAGGAATATTCAATTCTTAATTAATAAGAGAAGTCGTTCATCTTTTCCTCTCGATTCATGATAGTTCATACCTGAGCTCTGCATTCTTTGGAGATTTGTATGAATACTAGGCTAGAGTGAGTGATCCTCTTCTTGTTTTTTACCATGGTGCTCCATCCAAAACTTAGACAATGAAGCTCAGTTTTTTTCTGGCTCCAAGGCCATCCATGTAAGTTCCTTTTTCCCCAAGGGAAGAATATGCAAATAAGGTTTAACAGTTCCCCAATTTTTCTTGTTTCTTTTAGCCCACCAATGTTTTTGGGTTGGTACAAGAACAATGAATATGTACATAGATAAACAGAAAGCCAGAAACACATGCATATAGTTATTAAAAAAATGTATACCACTCGTATCCATTTCATTTCACTTAATGGCGTTCCTATGTTCCTTGATTTACTAAATTTAAAATTGTCAAGGATAAATTATAAATATATTATATGTTCTTTTATTACAAGTCATTTCCACAGTTTACTTCAACCATCACTGCAGTGATTCAGTGAATGTGCAATTTGGTTTCCCTCTTCCAGTCAAAATAATACTCCCAAAGCAAATAAATTAATACCTGAAATACTTAGTTGCCGCTCACATAACCTCCAGAATTTTTTAACAACAGAAGCATCAGGACAATATCCTAATCTTTCCAGTTTTGTGGAAGAATAATTTTCCTTCCTAAATAAAAACCAAATCTCCGCAAGAATAGTACAAACCTACACATATCCAATGTTGTTAAATCAGTACGAAATTTCAAGAGACCACTGAGAGTTTCAATATGCTTATTGAACTTGGTAAATATGGGGCAAAAGTATACGTACTCGACAGGCCAGCTGATTACCACTCTTACCAACATCGGTAGGATCATTCAGATATTGACCCAGATGCTCAAGCAATGAATTCCGTTTATTCAATAAGGATGATAAAGATTCTGTAGACACTGCCTCACTATTTATGACAGAATGTAGAGACCATGCTAAATATAAGTAGAGGTTGAGAAGAAGAAAACATACAACCTGCATGGAAAAAAAAGGAAATGATAGGGCCTTTTGAGATATGTCAAACAATAAAAAAAAAGGTCTTTTAAATAATTAAATTAGCCACCCCTACCTCATCATCCATGCTTCTAAATTTCTGGAGAACCATCATAATATCACCATATAAGCTTTCCATAGGAATAGGTCTGGACAACTGAAACTCATACAGCCTTTTCAAATTTACAAGAAGAGAGTACTCATCATCGCCATCCTGCAGACATTAAGAATTTTGATAAAATATATTCACGGGGGAGGAAGGGGAGGGACTAAAGGAACAATATTGACCCTATATACCTCTAACTCTCTCATAGCATGTTTCAATTTTGCAAGAAGTTCATCCTCAAGTTCCTTTAATTTATTACGGGAGAAGTCTTGTAACTCCCCTCGACTCTCAGTGCAACATAAGTTAATTGCCTTCATGCAAGATCTTAATGCTTCCTTCTCACCATGTTTGAAAAATGCTTCTTTCATTAGTTGAAGAACATTTTTATAGTTCTGAGGGGAAAAAAGAAAAGGCGCCACAAATAATTATGCATTAGAACTAAGCTGAAAAAAACTTGAATATCACGCTGCAGCAAGAACTATGCAGCACCTGCTCTTGCCTCTTCAGGGAATAAAGTTCAAGATTCATGTGCACAATAATTTCAACTAAAGATGGTACTTTTGCTTTATCAGCCATGAACTTGCGTAGAAGTAGTGGATAATTCTTCATCATGGCAATAGTTATGTCCCGTTTGTTGCTTTCAAATATTTCCTGATAACCAAAAGAAATAATGATTTAGACTAAACTCTGGACAAAGTTAGCAAGAAAAAGACCAGAAAAAGATTTGTAAATGACAAAAGATGTCAAATGTCATAAAAAAAAATTGTGTAACATCACATCACATTATAACGGGCATCGACACCAGGACAATATAAAAATGGGGCTGCTGTTAAAGAGCTGAAATCTTAGCATGCTTAGTTTAATGCATTGGTACATATCAGATGTGATAAATGGAACGTAAAACAAGGAACATAATTAAGTAAACTAGAAATTAAATTTTGCTTTAAGTTTTTAAAGAGTTATTTTGCTCAAGTATTCATCCAACAGTAAACTGGGAATGTTGTGCATTTTAAGAACCAAAATAAGGGCAGAGTTACGTTAACTGCAGTCTAAACATTGAAGGAAGGTAAATCATTGCATATTACACCTTTTGGGCTTTATTGAAGTACTGCTTTCTATTATCTGTGGCAGGAACAATCCTCTCCCCAACTGCCTTTTTGATAGATGCAGAAAGGAGACGAACCAAATTTGTGGCATCCTCATCAGTAAGCTCAATTAAAGGATTTTCATCTAGGAGCATGGAAATAATGCACTTCCAGTCCTGCATGATAATTGCATATACACATGAGAAACTACTGGTATTCTTTACCATTAGCTTAAGCATCATCCAGATCCAAAGGATGAAATTGATAGTACACACTAACCACTTTTCCTTTCTACTAAATTTATTTCTTATAAACATATGTATTGAATACATATCCACAGCATGAGTAACGCATATGAACAGATAGTTTATAACTAATCAAAAGCAAGCTGAGTAGCTTGCTTCGTCTGCTGGCATAATAAATTGAACTACAGTTTAACTTTTTATAAACCTAAATGGTCTGTTTAATTATCAAAAATCCCAAAAACTGCCATTAAGAAGAATCCCAAAAACTAAACCCAACTGAACCTCTTTTTCCACTCCAGGCATTACACTAAAATCTTCATGCAGAGACGATTATAACACACCTTCATGGCCTTCATATATTCCCAAACATCATCGACAACATAGATACTTAATATTGGATCCGTTGAGAACTCTCTCAGGATTTGCAACATTCTTCCAAGATGCACCTCAGAAGAATTATTGCCATCACCTGAGACAATAATTAGCATCACAGTTACTTTCACAGCACAAACAATAGCAGCAAGAACGAGATGTATTTTTAAAATAGAGCAGAACCTCTCCAAGAAGATTTTGAGCTATTGAACTTCTGAGCAATCAAGTGATCATACACCAATGCTCCTATGGCATGCCTAATCTCTGGTGGATCATCAATCAGCAAATCATATAGGGGACCTAAATCGTCATCAGCTAAAAGTTGATGTCTGAAACACAGAAAATAAATAAATAAATAGATGTGTAAAATAAACAAGCTTTTGGAATAAATTCTACCATGTTACCTTAGTAGTTGTTTTACAAGCCCTATGGCACACACAGCCACAGAAACATCGATGTCATCTGCCAATTCAATCATCCGAATAGAAAACCTTTCTGTGAATAGACTGAGTGTTGGCACATTATCGTCAACCTCATAAAGATTCTGTAAAGCAAGAACGGAAACTTTTCTGACTCCTGCATTCTGCACCAACAAAATAAAAGAAAATATTGAAGATGTTTCCACATAGATAGCGACAGTTAGTGAATAGGAATAGTAAAGATAAGGTAAAAATTCCAAAACAAGTAACTTACTTTGTCATTCAATGTCCATCCAAGATATTTTAAGTACAAATCCTGCAAAAATAGTGATGGGTAGGACAAAATCCATACTCCTAAAGACTGTATGCACGACATTCTAATGTTTGGATCAATATCTCGATAACGATGCACAAATAACCTTCAAAAGAATGAACTAATCAGACTTAGGAAGCAAAGAAAAAGTATCCAAGGTTGCTAACAGAAGGTAATAATTAGAAGCACTATATCGGCCCACTTTGAAATTTTAAGAAAAAGATTGTACCCAGTAAAAATCTTGCGCATCATTTCCTCCAACACTGTAATATTTTCATGAGTCATAGAAAACCTTTTATTTAAAGACTCCACACGAGGTCCCTCAGCACGTTTCTTCTTTTCAGCATCTAATTGTCTACGAGTAGTTTCACGTTGAGCACCAAGCATTTTAGCAACACTTATGAAAGAAGTAACAAGTTGGAGACCCATCAACGAAGCTACTTGACGATAAACCCTTGGAGGAGTGCTGCTCCATATTAAAAACAATTAAAAATATATATTCAAGGGAAATATAGATTTATGTTTACAAAAATAATAGATCATATATTCAGACTTTGCAATTGTTTACTAACCATGATAATGCAATTATGTAGTCCACACATTTATCAAATAACACCTGATCAAATAAAGGGCCATGTTGACACTCATGGACCAAATGGTCCCAAAATGACTCAAGATTGTCTTTGAAGTTTTTGAACTCCTTCCTTTTAGAGCTTTGATAATCTTCAACTTCACCCTATGATACCAAAGTCCAGACAATGTTCAAAGGCAAATTTGAGAAAAAATTCAGAGAACTCAAATAAGAATTGAAAGTAGAAGATTAAAAGGTGACAACAAAATGGAGAACGTAAGAGAGGGTTTAATATAAAATATGTGAAAAGATTAAAAGGCAGATTTAGGATACTCTTTTGGCGAGATTGACAAGAGCAACAACAACGTCATCAACATCTGTCTCTTCCAGGAAGTCACCCTTGATATGGTATTTAGTTCCACATGCCTGTACGTTTGTAGATTTCGATAATCAATAATTTTCCTATCGTTACATACAGCTTCTAAAAGAATTGTCTCATTGTAAATGAACCACTAAAATAACGATCTGGAGTACAGGCAATCTAGACCAGCTTCCCAGCTACTTAAATTGTTCGAAGTTTAAAAAGAAAACTTGGAAAGAAAAGGTTACATTCTAAATGCACTCTCAAATCAGACCTGAGGAAGAAAAAACTTTCAATTACCTCAAATAGCATTGCCAGGAGCTCAACCATTGAAGCCTTTGGATCTTTTTCATACCTCTCCACCCATAGCTTAACAACTTGAGGAATAAGTTTACCATTTCCTTTTATAACTTCTGCAGAAAATGATAGGACATGATAGAGCTTAACAAGATTTACATCTCATTGTCTGAGAATAGTATAGCAAGTATTGCACTTAATGAGTGAGCACCCGGGAATAGTTGCATTTCGAATATTGACGTCCATATATTTCAGGCATTCAACAGGAAGAGTTTTATTGAAAATGTGAGCGCAGTTGCAAAAGGATGAAAATGACAGTAATTCATCGAGAAATATCACCATAATGACTAAAACCTAGAAACATTCAACCACGACCCCAGTTTGATCTTTCAATTATCAAAATTAAAAGAAACGCTATTGAACCCAATTCAGAAAATGAACATTCATCATGCTGGTAAATGATAAAAAATTAGTTACCAATCAGACTCTGATCGGAGACTTCATCCGCCGCACTCGAAGTGCTTTCCAAACGGCTCCGCTTAGTTTTAGGAGGTTGAGCCTCTTCATAGTTTTCAGGTGAGCTCTCTCGGTTAGCCTGGTCGCTAGCATCGCTGGTCCTGTCGTTGTCGGCACCACCACGATCTCCAGTGGTAGGTTGAGCTTCGGCGGCTACAGTCTGAGCTCTCGTCCTTTTCTGTTGACACGAAAACCATAAATTACCCCAAATAAATACATCACCGTTCAACCCAAAAAAGGGAAGAAAAAAAAAAAAAAAAAGTCCACGAGGACTGAGAATAATCATCACCGAGCGGCGAGTTGGCAGTCCAGAAGCAGTCGTAGGAGCAGCAGCACGCTCCATTGCAGTTAAAAGATGATTCCAACAGCAACCCAACACACACTACCAACGCAAGGTCCTCAAAGCTGCATCAAACCAACCAAAAGCAAAATGAAAGACAAATTAAAATCAGATTCCCTTACAAATCAAGCATAATTGAACAAAAAACAGGCCACGAATTGAACAGATTGACTGTAAATTTACCTAGAGGAAAATTGGATTTCTACAAAGTGAAAGAAGAACTGAGAGAGACATATTGATGGAAAGACGAAGAAGAAGAAGAAGAAGAAGAAGAAATGGGTGGAAAATACCCTATGTTATGGCAGCCCACCGTGGATCGAGCGAGTGGAAACTGATAATCTCCCGCCAAATGACGAGAAGGGCATCGCAGTCCAACTGCGAGAGCTGGTGTAAAGCGGACAGTGACACAATAATAATAAATAAATAAAATATTTATATATTAAATTTGGAGGACATTTCATTATATCATACACATAACTAAATATCAACTAAATCAAAATAATAATGTCTACTAATCATAAGAATTAAGATTATTGTTATTGTTGTTAAATATAAATAAATAAATAATAATGGTATTAATTTTAAAGTCTCTCGCGGTCGGACGTGAATCATAGTAGTTTATCAGAATTCACGCAATTTTCAACTGTTCAAGCTCTATTTTTTTTGTCTATTCTCTCTCCGAGTGGTTTCCCTCAATCAATTTGCACTTCAAGCTACATACCGAGAGCAATCGTCGCTCCAAAGATTCTCGATTCTTAATTCTCAGTTGTCGATAAGATTTTTTTTTACTTTACCTTAATTCTGTAAAATCCTATGGGTCTCGTGAATATCTACTTTTTAGGTGTATCACCTCCATTAATTCTCTAAACATTAATCATTGAGTCGAACTATTAGATACTCCTTAATCTATTAGAATTAAGTCTTTACACACAACTCGTTCAATTCGGATCCAACTATGTGCAGGCATGATAATAAAATTAAAAAAAAAAAAAATTAGGGTTCTTGAAGACTTCACACGGTAGCATGAACGTGCTGATCAATTTCTCTTCCAAGTATCGATATTCTTCTTTAGGTGTGACACTTGCCTTTAGAAACCTTCCAAAGTTAGTGTTGTCGATGGACTTTCAGCATTAATGCCAAGAGTAGAGGGAGATAATTGTTTCATTAATCGTTCCTATGATTCTCATTCAATATGTTCCTATAATTCTCGTTCAACTATGCGATTCCATCAAGTTATTTTTAACGTTCTTGCACACATTCATAAAAAATATATGAATTCTCTTCTCAATGGCCTCTTTTCACACTTATTAACGTCGTTATAAAATGTATAGCAAAGGAACATTTGGTATTATAATCAATTAGCTCGATTAATTACATTATTTCTTAAAAAAAATCTTATTTATCTTTTGTGTTCGCAAGTCTTCACCCGTTAGTAAAGATAGTATTCTTGATAGTAGTGTAAAACCGTTAGTGAGCTCATGTTCCACAACTAGTCTTTGAAATTAGTACAAAAATTCAAAATTGAGATATGATTGAAAAGCGTTAAGAATTCAACGAAACAATAATATAGATAATTAGGAAGGTCAACTACTTCTCTGATTACACAAACTGTCTCTTAACTAAACGATAGGAATTACACAAACATTCCTTTATAGGAATTACATAAACATTCCTGTATAATCAACATCGAGGTAAGCTTCCAATGCAAGAGAATTGTCCCATTTGAAAAAAAAAAATATGAAGTTCCTTTCCGACAACGAAACACTTTATATGATAATAGGCTTCCACAAATCATGCATGTATTAACTAATTACACTTGTGAGTATGTTACGTCTAGCCGAGTGTGAGCTAGATATATAAGTAAAAATGCCCTGCCTGAACTAAATACACTACTAATACAATATCGAGAAAGTACTTTAGCCTTCTAGGTTTTGTGATCTCAAATTCTTTTTATCAATTTTCGTCTGAGTTCAACCTTCTTCTTCATTATCTCTAATGATTATGATGTCATTTACATACACTAGAATCACTTAAACACCCCTAAATTTTAAGTGTTTGGTAAAGATTGTTATCTTGATTTGCTTATACCCGTAGTCTTTCATTACCTTTGTGTAGTCTTTCATTATCTTTGTATATCTTCCGTATCATGGGACTAGGTCTTTCTCAATTTAATGATATGAAAACGCTACCTAGTTGGATCTAAGAACTCTTATAGATATGCAAACCCAACCTATAGAAATGTCCATATTTAAGTTAATTCAGTTGAATCACTTTTTTATAAATTATTAGTGTCCATCAAAACATTTATCCTACCTAGTAAACAAAATATAAAATTAATCTCTGTCTCCGTTATAAAAACAAATACATAATTTTCATATCAAAGAAAAATAGCATTAAAAAATAGTAATGGATTTTTTTTTAACTAATAAATTAGTAATTGAATCAATAGACAAAAATGCAACAAAAACAAAAAAAATACCTCAAATTACATAAAATAAATTAGTCCAAAAACAATTGAATGCTGGACATTAAACCCATTGGAATTTCATAAAACTCATCCAAACTTCATGACATAAAACTCACTAGAATGCATATTGTACTTTAGAAAGTTTGGAACTTGAAAGTGAAATTCAGAAAATTTCTCTTTAAAAATATATTTATATTTACATTAAGCAAGATAGGTCCGAATCCATCGGCATCTTCGTTGGCACTAGTTCAAATTCAAAAAGTGAAGGCACATAATTACCCTACAAACAGTCTCAATTCATCTAGTAAAGCTACCCAGACCTTTCAAAACATACCATGACCCTCACGCTACTTCATTCAGCCCCCACAACTACAGCCTAATTAGCTATTGGAGGAGAGCTTCCATTTCTGCCCTTTCTAGTATGTGTTGATATAAGTGTCTCACAGACTCCCAACAACAACATAAACATTAACAAAACAAAACAAAATTTAGGTCAAAAGAGTAACGTACCAAAGAATATATGTTAAGTAGACCAGGAAATTTACAGCTTCTCTCGTGCCGAACCATCCACAGTCGTCTCAGATAAGATCAGAGCAGGTGTTTTATGCTGTGGAGAAACTCCCAATAATAATTAAGCATGTGATCTTTAGGTAATACTTCGGTCCAATATCCAGTGCAAAATATTGCATGTGCATCAGCTCCATACCTGTCTCAAATCAAATTCATTTTAATACACGTCCCAAGCTCAATAAGCATGGAAGAGATAGAACTATAAATCAACGAGGTTAAAAGGACGATCTAAATTACTTGCCAACACCAGGAAGCTGAGTGACATGACTCCAACTTTCTTTTAAATACATCTCAGATAAACGCTGAATTGTAAGTGATCTTTTTCTTTGTAAACCAAGAGGTCGAATAATATCTTCTATCTGCTCTTGTGATACCTCCAAAGCAGACTTTGGATCGGGACACAAAGTGAAGAGTTTAGGTATCACTTCTTTTGCCTGCAATTTTCAAAATGAAGACGCAGGCTGAGTCAAACTGAATTTTTTTGGCAAAAACGAAACCTACAGGACTAAGGGTGCATAATCAGAAAACAGAGAGTCAATCATGAGTAACAAGTTGACACAGAAACACAAAATGAAAGAAGGTTTTGGTTGCGATAATATATAGTATCATGGAGTTTATTTCCCCAACCATTCATAAATATGTGCACGACCAACTAAATGATCACTCCAATAGACTGGCACAACTAAGAACCAGAGGTTAGGTATAAGAACTTCATATATATATATGTGTGTGAGCATGTGTATCATTCATCTAATACTTTCTAGCCCTCAAAGATACAGGACCACAAATTTTTAGATTTTCTTTAAGAGTTCAAAAGAAAACTAGAGAACAAAGTTCAGTAAATCATACTCGAAGAATGATACCAAAATTCACTAGAAATGGCACCACAAAGTAGCTCTTTGATGCCTAAATAGTTTCAGCTATCATCCACTTCAATTAATTTGGTTCCTATCTTTCCAAATACCCCAAAACAATGCTTTGTAAACTAATAGACACCAATTCTCAGGGTGTATTCACTTAACAAAGTAAGGGGTGGGTCTACAACTTGGTATTGTGGATATCGTATTACCGTGGTACACAGGGAATGTGAGTTAGTAAGGCAGCTGACGGTAAGTGCTGATTTGGGAAAGGAAGTGAGTATTGGAGAATACTATAGTATAATTCATTAGGTAAAGAATACTCTAGATAACTAACAGAATATCTTCAAAGGACATAGTGAATATGGTAATTGACAAGGTTGAATGAGACGACATTTATCCACTTTTCTTGTTTACTTGATTCAAGGATATTGTTGAAGTTCATTTATGAAAACCCAGTCCGCGGCAAAGTCGTGGAGTGGCAAAACTGTAATGAAAGCAAATCAAGTTTATGTGCCATGGGGAAAGATATAGCACAGTATGAAACTGGAAATTGCATTCAAGATCAAGTAAATACCTGCTGCCCAGTCGTCCGGTTAAGGAGCATACATATGACAAGAACCCTCCAAGGGTCGTAAGCATGATCCTGTTGGAGAAGGCGAATTCCAGAGGGAGGAGGCTTCCATGTATCATCTGACGATTTTCTTCTATAAGCTTCCAGAAACAACTCGTCAGCTGAAAGAGTGGTTCTAGGCTTAGCAGAAACTTTATCCCTCACTTTTCTTTCCTTGGCTGGTTTACGGATTCTTTTAACAGATTTTGCACACTGACTTGGAAGCTGTATAACCTCTTGTTGATTGTTCACTACTTCGTGTTCTTCTGATTTTTGAAAGAAACGTGAGACTACCCGCTCTTCTTGTTGATTTGTTTTTGAATTTTGTAATGAAGGTGAAACTTCAATCTCCACTTCAGGATTCTTTTCTGAATTTTGGAAATAGCGCGAAACAATCCGCACTCGTTTATCCGTTCCCGATTTTTTAATAGAACGTGAGGATTTTCTGATTGAACGTTGATATGCTTTTGAATTATCGGAGCTAGAAGCTACGTCTTTCCTCCTCCTTTTTCTGTATTGTCCGACCCTTGATCTTTTAAAAGGTTGATCTGTGACATTGACATCATCATCCTCATCCTCATTATGGGCTGCTCGTTCTATTTCCGAGTGTTGAAAATAGCGTGATACAATTCGTTCTCCTTGTTGGTTTGATTTTGATTCCTGGAAATGACGCGAAACAACACGTTCATCTCGTTGAACTGGCATGGAATTTCGGACAGAAGGTGGGGTTTTTTGCACTATTTGTTCATCAAACCCAAACTGCCGGCAAAACCGTAAAACCCTACGAGCCAATGGAGGCTTTATCGCCGGTTGATGGTCCGATTTTGCATTTTGAAGATCCTCTAGAGTTAATATAGGAGGCTCATGCGCTAAAACCCTTTCCCT